GCCTTCTGTACATCTGCACATCAGGCACTCAGGGATCTTCTGTCCCAAGGACCGGCCCATAGATTTCCGCTGCTCTCCTCTCCTCTGCCTTCTGTACATCTGCACATCAGGCACTCAGGGATCTTCTGTCCCAAGGACCGGCCGATAGATTTCCGCTGCTCTCCTCTCCTCTGCCTTCTGCACAGCCGTGCATCAGGCACCCAGCTGTTCCTCCTCTTCCTCATCAGCCATCTCCAGACCTGGGGGCGGTTGACTCTCCATCTGATGGCCCATGCTCCAGCCCTGGTCTGTCTCTCTCTCTCTCTGCCAGGTCCATTCCCTCTCCCCCCCCCTTTCAGCACTCTCAGGTTGCCTTGATGCCTGACCTGATTCACTTAGTGACCGTGGCAAAGAAGGTTGTAGAACTGGAGGCGGTCTTGTGGCGCCTTGCTTAAAGACTGTGCTGCTTAACTAAGGGTTTTTCCAGCCCCCGTCAGGCGATCCTAAGTTGAAAACTGGAGGTACTTAATCGAACTGCAAAATTGGTCCCTGCCGGACTCCGTTTTCAACTTACCTGAGGCTGAGCAGAACATCCCGGTGCTAAGAATCAAGAAAGCCAGCATGAGCCTGCTCACATGAAGCCCAAACTTCTTGCACACTGCCCTGGGAAACAGAGGAGGGAATCAGAGCCTGTTCTGGTGGTGCCAAGCAGTGGTGTGATTCAAATTTTTTTTTCCTACCAGTTTTGTGGGTGTGGCTTGGTGGGCATGGCATGGCTTGGTGGGCGTGGCAGGCCATTCCCTCCCGATCAGCTGGGACTCGGGAGGCAGAGAATAGATGGGGGCAGGGCCAGCCACAGGTGGCATTTGCCGGTTCTCCGAACTACTCAAAATTTCCGCTACCGGTTCGCCAGAACCAGTCAGAACCGGCTGAATACCACCTTTGGTGCCAAACATTTAAGGATGGTTCACCTACAGTGGTGGGCTGCTGCTGATTTGGACCGGTTTGCCCGAACCGGTAGTTCCAAACACTGGTTGGCCACGCCCACCCACTATCCAGTCCTAGATATCTCCTTCCGTCTTGCTTGCCCCGCCCTGCAGCCAAGCTGAGTTGCACGGTAGAAACCCACCCTGGGTGCAGTGGCCTAGAAGGGAAGCCCTTGCCTCATAATCAGGATCCTAGACAGAGACTGATATTTCTCTCTCTGAACACAATGAGAATATATCTGCTGAATAAAACTCCGCATTGGCGACGGGAAGGGCATCTGGCCAGTAAGCAACACTCAGCTAGCTCCATTTAGTTGCCCCGACTCCACCCCGCAAGGAATTACAGGGTCATTAAACGAGGAAAACATTACATAGCCGACGGGGAAATGTCCCTCCCGCAGAGATGCTGTGCACAGAGATAACCGAGGAGGCCCTGACCGATACTCACTTGTAAAAATAAAGCTCGCAAACACAACTCAGGAAGGCCAAAAGGCAGCGCAGGAAGTAGAAGATGAGGACCTAGGAAGAATGGTTCCAGTTACAACATTTCTAGAAACAGAAACAGTGGTTGTGTTCACGCAAAATGTGCAGAATGATACAACCAATCAGGTTTTCATTGTTTTCCCAACTCGATCCAGTTTGCCATTCGGTATGTCGGTTAGGCTGAGTAAAATCGTGTTTCGATTAGACCTGAGTTGAGGTGATCAGGGTCAGTGGGGAAATCTACATCTTTTTGGTTCTGTGGGAGTGGCTTGTGGGGAGTCATGTGACTGGGATGGGCGTGGCCAGGGGTGGGTTTCAACTGGTTCGCGGCGGTCCCCGCGAACCGATTGGTCAGTGAACCCGGAAGTAAGTAACTTCCGGGAACGGCGAAGGGCCCACCCGCCCGCCCGCGGTCCTTACCCGGTTTTGACAAGTTCTGCGCTTCCACGCATGCGCAGGACGCATACAGTGCCTGCACGATCCTCCAGGAGCAACTGGAGCATCGCCAGACGCTAGTATGCATGTGTGCACTG